AGAGGAAGCCACTTGCTGAGGCAGGGTCCCAAGGACTCCTGCAGCCAGCTCCAGGAACGGGGCTTCGCCACGTGTGGCCTAGCCACGTGTTCAGCCTGGCGATTGCGGCCAGCACAGCACCGTCCCGGCCAGGTGACAAACGCTGAGTGCCCCCTGAAGAACACCTGCCACCTGTGTGGCACCTGCTGCCTCAAGGCCTGGCCCCGGGTCTCTCATTTCCACCTGAAGCCACCGGGACTCCTCTCAGCTGAGCTCCCATCTCGCTAGCCCAGAGGTTCTCATCCAGGATACAACCTCAGGGGCAAGACAATGATGTAGACTTCTTGGCCATCAAAACTGGGTTCGGGGCAGAGCTGGAGTCTAGTGGCCAGAGGCCAGGAACGCTGCCCAGAGCAGGCCTCACAATGAACAATCATGGTCCCCTAGGGGCAGCAGCGCCCAGGCGGAGGATCCCAGCGTGGCTGCTCCCTCGTCCCTGTTTCATGTGGAATCTCCCAGCAGCTCTGGCCCTCCTGGCGCCACCTCACCGCCTCACCTCACAGCTCACTCACTGAGGCTCCACCGAGCCACACTGCCTGATGTCCCTGCCTCGCCAGCTGGCCAGGAGGTTGTCCTGCAGCTCAGGGCAGGCTCAGCTGGCTTTGGAAGATCTCCAGGCCAGGTGGGCACGAGCCCCCCTCGCTTCCCCAGGGCCTATTAAACATCTTGCTGGCACATCTGTGCCCCCGGCCCTGCTGGGAGCACCTGGAGCAAGGTGAGGTCTAAACATGATTCCCGCAGGTAGCCCCAGGGAAGCACAGTCGGGGACTGCCCACTCAGCGAGGCACCGAGGGTCTCTGTCCTTCCAGACGGCCCCTCCCCAGCGCTGTCGCCAAGGGGAATAAGCCTCTCCCCAAACCTCCCAAAAACCAAGGATGCCAAGGGCAACAAAGGGAACAGCAAACACTTAAACCTCATGAGGGTAAAACCCGAATCTCAAGTTGGAAGAACATTTTCCGTCAGGCACATTCGTCCTTTTGGCAGTTGAGGTGGAAACACCTTCAAGTCAACCTTGGGGGGAAAGCCAACCATGCCTGGGATGAAGCAATGACTGAAAATGCCCCACTCAGCCCCAAGGCTCCCGGGGCGGTCGTGGGAGCAGGGGCCGTGTTGTTTCATCCGTGCCTGGCGGAGCTCCCCACAAACGCACAAATGCCTGCCTTTGAAAAGACCTTCCCGGAGAAACACTCGACTCCAAAGCACCCTTTGGTTTTGCTGAAGGTGAATTAGACCAACAAACCGTCTAGTCTAAGACGTCATCAAGCAGAAAGGAAAAATAAACAGACTCTGCCTGCTCCCTAGCTGGGAGGGCTCCCTGCCCCATGGCTTCTGGTGGCTTTGGCCAGCGGGGAGCCGGATGGGAGGAGGGAGCAGGGGAGGGGAGGGGTGTCGGGAGGGCCCCAGGCTAGCTATGCCCCTCCCAGGTGGTCTGTGCCCCTCTCCCGTGGCTTCTAACCATGGCCCCTTCTTTCCTGGCTCCATCCTGCCCTTTCCCTTGATGCTTCAGGCATAAGGGCTGTCGCAGCTCTGCCGGCACTGCCTCCAGCCCTGGGTCCCACGCCGCCCCCCAAGGATGCCCCACGCCCTGCCCAGCCCTTTGTAAACAACCCCTCCAGGGCTGGTCCCACTGGAGCACCCCAGGCCCTGGGCACTGGCGGACGGGGGAAGGATCCCTGAGGCGTCTCCCACAGGTCGCACATGGACACAGTTCAGGAGGCCATTCCTATAGGCGACAGCCAGGAGGTCGTACTCAGACCTGAAATGCAGGTGGCCCATGCCTCAGAGACACAGCCGCTCCAGAGGGCGGGGGACAGACAGTGAGACTGGAGAGGTGGGTGGCAGCGGTGCGGCCCCCACCCTCGCCAGACTGCTGCATGCTGAATCTTTTCGAATACGTTTTCTTAATCATCCTCCAAAATACAAAAACCAAAACCAGTGAGGTGGTAAGGCAGGTGAATGGAGCATGCTGGGAAAAGAACACAGCCGGGGTGGGGGAGGGGGTGACCCTTCGCATTAGCCGAGGCAGGCGGGGATGCATGTGCAGTGGGGTTCGCTCGGCCACGTCACCCACTGCCCTCAAGACCTCCTTGTAGCTCCAGCCCTGAGCCCCTCTCACCCGGCCATGGCCCTGGACACCCCTCATCATCCGGCCGCAACACCTCCTCCCCGAGGGGGTCCCCTCCCACCCTGAGTCGGTTCTCTTCCCCCAAACCTGCCCTGGTGGCCTGAGGTTACCCCCAAGGTGGCTGCTGGAGGATGGGACCGGGGGTGACACTGGATACAAAGTGGAGGCTCAGAGAGGAGAGGAACCAGCCCCAGAGGCTCGTCTTCCTGACCTCAGGCGGGCCCCTGCCACCCCTCCAGGCCCCCACACCACTCACAACCTGACTGGTCCTGCCCGGCTCAGGCGCACTCCAGAGGAGGCCCCTACACCTGCGTTTGTCAGAGCCGCCACTCCGAGACCAAGGCACGGAGCAGTGGGGCCGCCCCTCCCACGGGCAGCAGCTTGTGATCCCTGCAAACACATTCCCAAGTGTGTGGCCCCGTCAGACCTCCTAATGGATGCCTAAAGGCATAGTAAAAACCGGTTGGTTTCCTCCATCAATAACCTCAGGCAAGAGAGAGAAACATCCATCGCTCGCAGGAAAGGCCTAATCCCCACAGGGGGCTTCGCTCAGGCACCGCTGAAAGGACCCCGCCTTAGACACGGAAGCGGTGGAGACTCTAATCCGCCGGCCTCTGTTTATCTTCCTGCGTGAGGCCCCACTCCTCTGGGACAGTGCAGGTGGTGTCCTGCATGGGGACTTTGCTCCTCTGAGCACCTGGAAGGGGGCGGTGGCAGGCAGGCCCCAGTGAACACTCTGTGTCCAGAGCCAGGACGAGTGTAGACAGAGATGGCAATGGTGGCATCCAGCCCCCAAGTCCCTCTGCAACTGTGGACACACTGCTGCTTCTGCCAGTCAGAGGATGATGATTCTGGGTGGACACTGATGGGGAGACCAAGGCTGACTCAACACCCCCCCGTCCACCCCATCCCTGGGAAAAAACGTTCATCCCTGGACCTGGTTTTCTGATCACGAAGGAAGGAAAATGCACCACCTACGCCCCATGCTTCCCTGACAATGGGGCACGGTCTCCAGGGTCCCCTGTGGTCCAGCCCTCAAGAAGCACCATCCCGGGGGTATCGAGCTCTGGTGTCCAGCCCCGGCTGGCTGGAGGGCACAAGAGGAAGGGCCAGGGGGTCAGACTGGGCAGCGCCAGGCAGCAGGACACAGGCCACCGTGCAGCTTGCCCAGGTGAATGCACTTCACACTGGCCAGCACGGCCCCACAGCCACAGGACAGCACTATGTCAAGAAGAGACTTGGTCTTTGAAATGGACAGTGGCAGGACAATGGCAGCAAACATCCACATCTGCAAGGCCCACCCTCTTCCGCTTGCTCAGCCCGGACCCCCCACCCCGCCAGCCCCTGCACCTCTGTCGAGCACACATCTCCATCCCTCAGCCAGGCCCCACTAGGGGTGATCTCCAATGTGCCGCAGCCCAGACCCCGCCCAGGTACCTGCCAGCCCTCTTAATGTCCCCTCAAATCCCAAGCAGGCACTCAGCTCCCAAACCCCACCAGCAACTCCCGTCTGCCCTCGTCCCAAATGAGGCTCGAGCTCTGCCTGCCGTGGGCTGGCACTGATGGGACAGAGGGCAAAAACCAGGGTCACTGTGACGGTGACCACTACTTGGAGCCTGTGCAGCCTGCCTGGGAGATGGTGGGACTTGTTCAAAGCAGATGTGAGGGGCGGGCTGGGGAGGCGGAGGGACAGCAGCGGCCGATAGGGAAAGGAGCGCGGAAGCCGACGGAGGCGGCGCTGCAACCCCGGGCCCAGAGGCTGGACCCCAACTGCTGGCGAGTCGAAGCCAGGCGCGGGGGCTGTGAAAGAAGGAAGCCATTGTCTCCACAGGACTCGCTCAATTCTCATGGAGGACAGAGGGGCCCTCGTCTGCCAGCCAAGCTTAGGCCTTGTGGGAGCCTGGGAAGGGGGCGCAGGGGGCATGGCTGGGCTCCGGGATGGGCTGGTAAGACCAACGCAGACCCACGACCAAGCAGGAGCACACCCTGGAAGCTTCCCAAGAAGAGAAAGGGGATTTGCAAAGTCAAAGCCATGGAAACGACAGCATTTTGATGCAAAACCCAGCAAAGCGTGCTCTCACAAGCCAAGGAACAATAAAATAAAGTGAAACCGAGACCACGCAGCCCTCCCGGACTTCCTTGGAGAGTGTTCTGGCTCTCCAGGTACATCCAGGTAGAGTGGACAGTTTTGGCCACGGAGCCATCTGAACAGCCTGGAATTTTAGCCACTAGTAAAGACTCTGGCCAAGGTGGCTGCAAATGAATAAGCCTGTGTCCCTCCCCCAGCGCAGGTGATCTCCGGGGTCCCTGTGTCCCTTCCCTGTCCAGAGCTCCAGGTGGGACTCTGCCCCTCGCACAAGGCTCAGATGTATGGACACAGGTCTCCACAATGTGCATTTCCTAAACCACTCTTTCCAGCAGCACATTTACAAAAAATTTCAGTGCATGAACGTCTTAAGACAGAAAATTCAGGGCTATTTTTTAGACAGTCTCACTCGGTCGCCCAGGCTGGAGTGCAATGGTGCGATCTCGCCTCGCTACAACCTCCGCCTCACGGGTTTAAGTGATTCTCCTGCCTCAGCCTACTGAGTAGCTGGAATTACAGGCATGCGCCACCACGCTCAGCTAATTTTTGTATTTTTAGTAGAGACAGGGTTTCACCATGTTGGCCAGGCTGGTCTTGAACTCCTGACCTCAGGTGATCCACCCACCTCGGCCTCCCGAACTGCTGGGATTACAGGCGTGAGCCACCATGCCCGGCCCCAGGGCACCTTCTTGAGCAGCCCTGGGGCCGGGGGGATGTGGGGGGGCCAGGGAGATGGGGGGGCCGTCCTACCTTGTTGTAGTACTGCACCTGCACCGAGTGCCACTGCCCGTCACTCACACCGCCAGGAACCTTCGGAGCCACGGTGGTGGTCGTCTCACCTGCATGGTTGGGGGGAGACCCAGAGAGAAAGCAGAGGTTGGCGAGGCCTCCCAGGGACCGAGGATTGTGCTGTGAGGCTGCAGGTGGGCAGGGAGACAGGAGCACATGGCCACGTCCTCCCTCCCCACCCCCATGACACCATGGTGCGAGGCACCCACCGCTCCGTCCCTTTTCTTTTCTGGTTACAAAAGTAATTCTTGTTCCTCTTTTCCAGTTTTATTTTTGAGACAGCGTCTCACTGTGTCGCCCAGTCTGGGGTGCAATGGCGTGATCTTAGCTCACTGCAACCTCTGCCTCCTGGATTCCAGCATTTCTCCTGCCTCAGCCTCCTGAGTACCTGGGATTACAGGCATGTACCACCATGCCCCGGCTAATTTTGGTATTTTTAGTAGAGATGGGGTTTTGCCATGTTGGTCAGGCTGGTCTCAAACTTCTGACCTTATGACCTGCCTGCCTTGGCCTCCCAAAGTGCTGGGATTACGGGCATGCGCCATTGCACCCAGGGCTTGTTCCCGTTTCCTAAATATGAAAACACGTAAACATGGGAAGCTCCTCTGTGCGTACCAGTGGTAGTCACGTCTACACCGCAGCAGGGGAGGAATCCTTTTTCCCATGCATTGCATCAATGTAGACAAAATCATCAAAACCCATCCCCCTTTAGGTCCAATCACATAAATGTCATCTCAGGTTTTTAACAACTTTTAAACCCCGTAACTCATCCCGTCGTGAGGTTGCACACTCGTTTCTCGTGCATCTCTGCTTTGGGGTGTTTGTCACTTCCACCCTGCCAGCTTCTGCTGCAGCGGGCCGAGCGAGTCTCCTCAGGGGATTCCAGGGCACAACCCCAAGTCAGCAGCAGCTGGGAGGAAGGAGCTTCAGGAGCACCAAAGAACAGGTGCGGTTGGTACCAGGTCCTGGGCAGGGAATGCCATCTCCAGGGAACAAGCAGTTCTGGAAACAGGGCTGTGGGTCTGGGGACCCTGGCCAGGGGAATAGTCTAACCCCACCTCACAGAGCCTGGAGGGCCGTGGCCACCTCTCCCACTGCGGTCGGCTGCTGTTATGGGTCCCTCCCCTTCTTTATTGCACACAGAAAAGCAAGCTCCATCCTCTTCTGTCACACACAGGTCGTTTAACATGGGCCAGGGTTCTAGAGATGGAAGCACCTCTGACCCATCTTGGAGAACTTCCTGGTGAAGGAGGAGATGGCAGAATTCACTCCTAAAAATCAAGTGTGCCAAGTCGGGTGTGGTGGCTCACACCTGTAATCCCAGCACTTTGGGAGGCCAAGGTGGACGGATCACTTGAGGTCAGGAGTTCAAGACCAACCTGGTCAACATGGTGAAACTCCGCCTCCACTAAAAATACAAAAGTGAACCATGCATGGTGAAATGTGCCTGTATTTCCAGCTACTCGAGAGGCTGATGCATGAGAATCGCTTGAACCTGGGAGGTGGAGGACGCAGTGAGCTGCTATTGCACCACTGCACTCCAGCCTGGGGAAAGAGTTAGACTCTGTGTCAAAACAAAAACAATAAAAACCTCATGTGTGCCAGAAAAAACAGATACACCTGTTGGTAATTTGGAGAAATGTTCTTTTCTAACAACTGGAATAACATGCTTAATGGCCTTGGCAATGTTTTTTTTTTTTTTTTTAAAGAGATGGGGTCTCGCTATGTTGCTCAGGCTGGTCTTGAACTTCTGGGCTCAAGCAAGCTGCCTGCCTTGCCTCTCAAAGTGCTGGGATTACAGGCATGAGCTACCTTGCCTGGCCAGCTTTGTCTCTGTCTCTGTCTCTCTCTCTCTCTGTGTACACACACACACACACACACACACACACACTCTCTCTAATATACTTGTCTATACAAACACACACATACATACATATATATGTGTATATATATATGTGTGTGTGTATATATATGTGTGTATATATATATGTATTTTCTTTTTAAGATGGATTCTCACTCTGTTGCCCAGGCTGGAGTGAAATGGCACAATCTTGGTTCACTGCAACCTCAGACTCCTGGGTTCAAGTGATTCTCCTGCTTCAGCCTCCCAAGTAGCAGGGATTACAGGCATGCACCATGACACCAGGATAATTTTTTTTATTTTTACTAGAGACGGGGTTTCATCATGTTGGCTAGCCTGGTCTTAAACTCCTGACCTCAGGGGATTCACCTGCCTCGGCCTCCCAAAGTGCTGGGATTATAGGCATGAGCCACCGTGCCTGGCCGGCAATAATATTTTTAATCTAGAGATGTACTACACTTAATTTAATGATTCCTTGGTTTCTGAAAACATGAGCCAGATTGTTCACATTTCCAGCACTATAAATAACACTGCTACGAACATCTTTGTGCACTTTGGATTTCTTCAGTAAGACGGATCCCTCGACCTACAAGGGATGAAAGTGTAAACAGCTCGGAGGTGCCGCACAGGGCGAGGGCACCCGGGAATTGCTCAGAGCTGCCCTGCCTAGGGAGAAGGCCCCACCTGCAGAGAAGGTGAGCTGCACCTGCTCGTCCACAACCTCCAGGGCAATGAAGTCGTGCTTCTCGTTGAAGCGGCCATTGTAGAGCAGCAGGCCGTTCCTCTCCTGGGTGGCAAACCTGCGGAGCCAAGCAGAAGCACATCACAGGCTGGAGACCCCAAGGTCGGAAGGCTCCCCAAGAGCGACAAGCCCAGCCAGAGGAGGGCGAGTGCTGGTGACCACGATTGAGGAAGAAATGGCCTCAGGCAAGCATCCTTCCCAGGGAAGCAGAAAGCCCACCCAGCTTGATGAGCAGAATTCTTTTCTGGAAGCAGCAAACCAGAATCGGTGGGGAATTCGGATACTACAGCACGTAGAATGTGAACAGATCCCATTTGCGGCCGGGCGTGATGGCTCACGCCTGTAGTCCCAGCACTTTGGGGGGCCGAGGTGGGGGGATCACATCAGGATCCTAACATGGTAAAACTGTCTCCACTAAAAATACACAAAATTAGCTGGATGTGGTGGCTCAAGCCTGTAGTCCCAGCACTTTGGGAGGCCGAGGTGGGTGGATCACGAGGTCAGGAGATCAAGACCATCTGTCTCTACTAAATATACACAAAATTAGCCAGGCTGGTGGTGTGTGCCTGTAGTCCCAGCTACTCGGAAGGCTGAGGCAGGAGAATCACTTAAACCAGGAGGCTGAGCCAAGATCGTGCCACTGCACCCCAGCCTGGGTGACAGAGACTGCGTCTCAAAAAAGAAAAAAAAAAAAAAGAAAAAAAAAATATCCCATTTGCGCAACATGCTATAAGAATGACCCATAGCCAGGACACCTGTTACAGATATGTTTGGACAGAAAGCACGTGCTGTACATTTTCTTTTTTTTTTTTTTTTGAGATGGAGTCTTGCTCTACCATCAGGTGGGAGTGCAGTGGTGCAATCTCGGCTCACTGCAACCTCTGCCTCCCAGGTTTAAGCGATTCCCCTGCCTCAGGCTCCCACGTAGCTAGGACTGCCTGTAATCCCAGCTACTCAGGAGGCTGAGGCAGGAGAATTGCCTGAACCCGGGAGGTGGAGGTTGCCGTGAGCCGAGATCGCGCCATTGCACTCCAGCCTGGGTAACATGAGTGAAACTCGGTCTCAAAAAAAATTAATTAATTAAAAAGAAAGGACCGGGCATGAACGAACAGCTGCCTGAATATGAACAGGCCTGTCAGAACTTAGAGCACGCAGAGCAAAAAGCTACCTGACTTCAGGTTGGTTCACCCATTTTCCTTCAGCAGGAGTCGGCCTGAGCCAGCCTTGAGCATCTGACCTCAGCCTTTCTCTTGAGTTAAAATCGATGGTTCCAGCTGGGCACAGTGGCTCACACCTGTAATCCCAGCACTGTGGGAGGCTGAGGCAGGTGGATCATCTGAGGTCAGGAGTTCGAGATCAGCCTGGCCAACATGGTGAAACCCCATCTCTACTAAAGATACAAAAAAAAAAAATTAGCCGGGCGTGGTGGCCTGTGCCTGTAATCCCAGCTACTTGGGAGGCAGAGGCACGAGAATTGCTTGAACCCAGGAGTTGGAGGTTGCAGAGAGCTGAGATCACACCGCCACTGCACTCTAGCCTGGATGACAGAGCGAGGCTCCGTCTCATCTCAAAAAGGAAAAAAAAAAAAAAACCAACCAACCACACACAAAAAAATCTGACGGTTCCCACCTGTCCCTCGAACCCCCTCTAGAACCCCAGCAGGAACTGATGACAAACACCGAAGAAAACACACCGGCACAGCACACTGGATGCCTGGGCACGGAATCAGCAAGGAGAAGAGCTTTTTTTTTTTTTTTGGAAACAGAGTCTAGCTGTGTTGCCCAGGCTGGAGTGCAATGGCACAATATCGGCTCACTGCACCCTCTACCTCCCGGGTTCAAGCGATTCTCCTGCCTTAGCCTACTGAGTAGCAGGGATTACAGGCATGTACCACCACACCCGGCTAATTTTTGTATTTTTAGTAGAGACACGGTTTCATCATGTTGGTCAGGCTGGTCTCGAACTCCTGACCTCAGGTGATCCACCCATCTCAGCCTCCCAAAGTGCTGAGATTACAGGTGTAAGCCACTGTGCGGGCCGGGAGAAGAGCTCTTTATGAAGACTGGGACCAACTCAACGCAGGCTTGTTTTCCGAGACCCAGCCCCTGGGTCACACCTGATTCACTTTGGTACGTTTCACTTCTGTGGGGTTCCCTTTGGACCCAGATGCGGGCTGGTGGGCGAGGTCAGTGTCAAGCAGCCCTGCACGGCTCCCCCGGCAAGCACCCTCCACCGCTGGGGATGGAGAAATAAAGATGAGACCTACAGCCGAGCGGAGGATCGGGAGAACCCAAGCAGGAGGAGGAAAGGCCGGAAAACAGAAACCAAGGCCAGACGGGGGGCCCGGGGGAAGCAGGAGGAAGGAACAAAGGGCTGGGGGGATGACAGGCAGCTGGGAATGGAGCCCGGAGCCCACTTGGGAGCCCGGGCACTTGGCAAAGAGAAACTAGAAAGAGGAGAAGGGGCAGTGAAAGAACCCACCTGAAACAAAAGCAGCGAGGCGCCCCCAGCCCGGCCCCTCGCCGCGGCTCTCAGAGGCTCAAGAGGGCCCCCCCGCAGCCCCACCGCTCCCCAAGTGGAACTGCCCTGGAAGCCTGGGAGGCATCTTAGGATTTTACTTTTAATGGCATTCGCTACAAAACCCTCAGTGATTTAGCATCAGCTCTGACTGTTCAGCCACCGTCACATATAGTTCATAAATTGCTGTCCAGTACAATAATCTCAGAAATACAAAATCTGACAAGCAGCAGCGTAGCATTCTCTTGTGCACACATTTAATTAAACATTACTGGGGGTGGAGAGGAGAGTGGTGGTCACCAGAAGCTGGGGAGGGCTGAAGAGAAGTGGGTAAGGGATACAAACAGTAGAAATAAATTTATTTTGTCGTCGTTGTTTTGAGCTGGAGTCTGTCACTCAGGCTGGAGTGCGGTGGCATGATCTCAGCTCACTGCAACCTCCACCTTCTGGATTCAAGTGACTCTCTTACTCAGCCTCCTGCATAGCTGGGATTACAGGTGCCCATCACCACAGCCGGCTAAATTTTGAACTTTTAGTAGAGACAGAATTTCACCATGTTGGCCAGGCTGGTCTTTAACGCCTGACCTCAGGAGATCCACCCGCCTCGGCCTCCCAAAGTGCTGGGATCACAGGCGTGAGCCACTGCGCCCGGCTAGGAATGCATTCTAGTATTCAATAGCATGGTTGGGAACATAGAGTTAACAATAATTTATTGCATATTTCCAGAAAACTAGAATAAAAAATTTGCAGTGTTACCAATACAAAGAAAACAGAAATGTTTGAGGTAATGAATTTCCAATTACCCTGATTTAATCACTACATATTGTATAAGGTTATCAAAATATCACATGCACCCCCACAGTATAAAAAGCTACTATATATAAATTTTTTAACTTTTTGAGACGGAGTCTCACTCTATCGGCAGGCTGGAGTGCAGTGGCGTGATCTCGGCTCACTGCAACCTCCGCCTCCGCCTCCCGAGTGGCTAGGATTACAGGCACCCAATACCATGCCAGAGAAGAGGTTTTGCTCTTGTTGCCCAGGCTGGGGTGCAATGGTGTGATGTCGGCTCACTGCAACCCCCGCCTCCTGGTTCAAGTCATTCTCCTGCCTTAGCCTCCCAAGGAGCTGGGATTATAGGCATGCGCCACCACGCCCAGCTAATTTTGTATTTTATTTATTTATTTATTTATTTTGCAACAGAGTCTCACTCTGTTGCCCAGGCTGGAGTGCAGTGGCGCAATCTCAGCTCACTGCAACCTCTATCTCCAGGGTTCAAGCAATTCACCTGCGTCAACCTCCGCCTCCTGAGTAGCTGGGACTGCCGGCACGTGCCACCACACCCAGCTAATTTTTTATTTTTGGTAGAGACGGAGGTTCACCACGTTGGCCAGGCTGGTCTCAAATTCATGATCTGGTTTGAGATCCGCCAACCTTGGCCTCCCAAAGTGCTGGGATTATAGGCGTGAGCCACCACACTCGGCCTAATTTTGTATTTTTAGTAGAGATGGAGGTTTCATAATGTTGGCTAGGCTGGTCTTGAAATCCTGACCTCAGGTGATCCACCCACCTACAGTGCTGGGATTACAGGTGTGAGCCACCACGCTTGGCCTGGAGGTACTCAACTGTCAAAGGCCACACGTGGAGGACACAGACATCACGATCTAGAAGGACGGGATTGGAGACAGCTCGCCCCTTTCCTAAGGGGACCTGTGTGACGAGGCGGGAGGCACACTCACGTGAGGGAGACGGTGAAGTGGAAGCGCTGTCTCAGGCCCCGGAAGGTGACAAAGGACCGGGGCGGGAAGCTCCTGGTAGTGACCTCGCAGTAGGGCCTCTCGTACTCGCCGGGGGGGCACACGCAGTGGAAGCCGCCGATGAGCAGGTTCACACAGGTGCCCCCGTTCTTGCACACCCCGTTGGCACAGCGGCCTGAGCGGGCGTCCACCTCGCAGTGCTCTCCTGGGGGGTGAGAGGAAGACACCAGAGAGGAGGTTACCGAGCAGCCAGGGAAGAGCCCCCGGGCCCCTCGAGGACCCCGGGCACACCCCAGTCACAGAGTCAGCTGCTGAAAGAAAACCCGACTGACTCCTGGCCTTAAATGATGCACCTTCCTGGGCCTCCCAAAATGCTGGGATTACAGGCGTGAGCCACTACCCGACCCACAAGTGACTTTTTGGGGTCTTTTGAGACAGAGTCTCACTCTTTGCCGAGGCTGGAGTGCAGTGGCAGAATCTCAGCTCACTGCAACCTCTCCCTCCTGGGTTCAAGTGATTCTCCTGCCTCAGCCTCCCAAGTAGCTGGGATTATAGGCGCACGCCACCATACCCAGCTAATTTTTATTTTTAGTAGAGACGGGGTTTTCCCACGTTGGTCAGGCTGGTCTCAAACTCCTGGTCTTGAGGAAGGCACCCTCCTTGATGGAACTCATCTCAACCTAAGTACCTCCTAAAGGGCCCGTCTCCAGATACAGTCACATTGGTGGGGGACAGGGCTTCAATGCGGACATTCGTGAGGGCGCAATTCTGTCCGCAGCAGGTATGTATGAGACAAGTGGCAAATCTAAAAGACTAGACACTGAACACTAAACTCTAACACCCACTTTTAAAACTAAACAAGGAACCAGGTGCTATCGCGGGTGGGTGCTGAGGTATACCCCCCACCATCCCCCTCCAAGACTGGGCTCTGGGGCGTGGAATGCTGATGGCTCCTAGCTGAGACCCTGCGCTCAGATTCTACCTCCTGGCCCAGTTCCACTGCCCTCACTGGGGCAGCCCCCATCTAGGGGTGGGCAGCGGGGACACAGTGACCATCAGATGGCCCTACGCAGGCCACCCCTGAGGGGCCATCCCAGCTCTGCAGCACACCGTGTGGTGCCCAAGGCCTGGTATACCTGCCAGGCAGCCAGCCTCCCCCTGCCCGGGCCCCTCACTGCCCCCAGATGTAGCTCCTGAAACCCCCCACACCTGCTGCCTCCTAAGCTGGGGCCTGGAGTCTGCTTCTCAGGGAGGCCAACCTCAGCCACTGCTGATTTCAGTGAGTTCAGTCCTTAGTATTAGGAAAGCAAGCCCCCAAGGGAATGCTTTGAATGAGCTTTTGAGGAACAAATGAAGCTGATTTCTAATGAGGGTAACAGTCATCAAAAGTGAATGGTGCTTCTGAAGGATCCAGTTCTCCCTCTGCTTCCCCCAGGCATCTCCCTGTCTTCAAGACCAGGTAGCACCTAATAACATGTAACTGGCTAAGCCAAGGTGACTCCAGACTCCAGTACGGAGCTGTCTCAAAAATGAGCAGGGCTGAAATGGCTGACCTTTTACTGAATTTCATGACCCTGCACAGCCTCCACACCAGTAATCCCAAGGGCCTGCAGGCAGCAGAGCTGACGCCCAGGTCAGAGCCAGGCACGGGCCAGGGGGTGCTTTCTCCTCCACCCCAGGAGTCAGGGCAGGATCCCACCCACCTGTTCCGCACTGGCAGGGGCTGCTCCCAGGGAAATGGGAACAGAGAGGCTTCCCACCCCACTCAGAGTTAAAGGAGCCAGAGAGGACGCAGCCCTAGACCCTCGTCCAGGCTCCCATCACCAGCGGAGGCTGACCTCCCACCACTCCCCACTGCTGGGGGTTAGCCCACCACAGGTGCCACACCTGCAGGCGGGCTATGTGCACACACGCACTTGCACACACGTTTGCACAATGCTGTTTTTTTTTTTTTTTTGAGACGGAGTTTTGCTCTTATTGTCCAGGTTGGAGTGCAATTGGCACGATCTCGGCTCACCACAACCTCCACCTCCTGAGTTCAAGCGATTCTCCTGCCTCAGCCTCCCGAGTAGCTGGAATTACAGACATGCGCCGGTACGCCCGGCTAATTTTGTATTTTTAGTGGAGACGGGGTTTCTCCATGTTGGTCAGGCTGGTCTCGAACTGCTGACCTTATTCACACATGCACACTCACAATGTCTCCCACATGTACACACGTATCCATACAATTTGGCATACTTTTGTCTTGGTGTTAACTTTCTATGCTCGCTGCAGTACAGTATCTGTTCACACAGGTGCTCACACATACACACCCTCGAATGCACCTCACATCCTGTCACACACAGGTGCATACTTGCACGCCCACCTGCACACTCATGCGGGCAAGCCAGTGCTCATGGCCGCCTGTCCAGGTGGGCGGCTGGCCTTTATTAATCCTGTGCGTTCACGGGAGGCATGAAGCTTAAGGTATATTTCTCCTCCCTTACATACTTCAAATTATCTTGTTTCTACTTTTAAAATATGTGACATTTGGGAGTGTTTGCTTTCCAAGTTCCAGCCAGTGGCCAAGCACAGCACACACTGGAATAACAAAGCTGCCGTGAGGGGATGGGTGTACTCACCCAACCGGGTCAGGAAACAAAGGGGCCGGTGGGGCCCAGCCCTGCCCTTCCCACACCTGCCTCTGCCTGTTCCGGGTACTAAGAACTCAGGCTGGGCCTGGGGCTCAAGCTCTCCCAGAGAAAAGTAAAGCCCAGGCCCCCGACCCACACTTAGCTTCCCGGTCCCACCTGCCCTGGGTCGGAACTCACACTCCCCTCATCCGAGGGCTGGAAGGCTCGGCTTCTCACCTGCAGCCTGGGATTTCCTCTAAAAGGCCAGGGAAAGGCGGCCCAGCCCTGAGTGAAGGCAGCGCTTTGTCTGTATCTGGAAGGTTTGATTGAACTTGCACAATGGCATACCTGCTTCCTTTTTTTTTTTTTTTTTTGTTTTGGAGACAGAGTCTTGCTCTGTTGCCTGGGCTGGAGTGCAATGGCGTGATCTCGGCTCATTGCAACCTCTGCCTGCCAGGTTCAAGCGAGTCTCCTGCCTCAGCCTCCTGAGTAGCTGGGATTATAGGCGTGTGCCACCATGCTCAGCTAATTTTTGCATTTTTACTAAAGACGGGGTTTCACCATGTTGGCCAGGATGGTCTCGATCTCTTGACCTCATGATCTGCCCACCTCAGCCTCCCAAAGTGCTGGGATTACAGGTTTGAGCCACTGTGCCCGGCCGTTCCTGCTTCCAAATTTAATTTCCAGTGGCCCCCAGTGTCCTCAGGCTGCCCCGTGAAAGGGAGGGTGACAGACACAAACCTGTCCTGCCCCTCCGAGGGAGACGCCTGTGCAGGGACTGGAGATCAACAGGCGGCTAACACCTGTGAGAACGCAGCGAACCCAAGCACAGAAGTTAGTCCTTCGTCTGAAAGGTCTTGCTCCTTTCAGTATGTTGCAAATGAAACGAATCTCCATGGAGTTGTTGGTTTGCTTTGCTTTTTTAATGAGACGTTGTGTTTGCTTATTTTGTTTGTTTTCATTTTCAGAAAGTAGCTGTATGCGTTTCCCGTGGCTGCTGAAACAGACGACCCCAAACTGGAGGCTTTTAACTACAGAAATCCATCCTCACAGTGCGCAGGCCAGGAGCTAGAAATCAAGGGATCGGCAGGCCCAGCTCCCTCTGGAGGCTGCAGGGTGGGTCCCTCCTGCCTCTCCCAGCTTCTGGTGGCTCCTGGCGTCCCTGGCTTGTGGCTGCATTGCTCCAATCTCTGCTCTGTTCTCACAGGGCCATCAAATCTCACTCTCCTTCCTCTTATGAAAGACACCAGGCTGGGCACAGTGGCTCATGCCTGTAATCCCAGCACTTTGGGAGGCGGAGGCTGGCGGATCACCTGAGCTCAGGGGTTCAATAGCCTGGCCAAGTGGTAAAGCCCCGTCTCTATGACAAAAATTAACTGGGCGTGGTAGAGAACACCTGTAATCTAAGCTACCTGGGAGGCTGAGGCAGGAGAATCCTTTAAACCCACAAGGTGGAGTTTGCAGTGAGCCAAGATCGTGGCACTACAGTCCAACCTGGGCGACAAAAGCGAAACTCCATCTCAAAAATAAAAACTAAGGCTGGGCCTGGTGGCTCACGCCTGTAATCCCAGCACTTTTGGGAGGCAGAAGCAGGCAGATCACCTGAGGTCAGGAGTTCGAGACCAGCCTGGCCAACATGATGAAACCCTGTCTCTACTAAAAATACAAAAAATAGCCGGGCGCGGTGGCCCAGCCCCAGCCAGGCGCCCAGCCCCCTCCACACCACACTCACTGGCCTGTGCCGGCCCCGCTGTCTCCCTCCTCCCAGGTTGCTACTCATGGCCCTGTGCGTACTCTGCAGGCAGTCACATCTGTCACCTAGTGAGAGACGTCCTCTCTCCTGGTCTCTGCACATGGCTTTCCATTGCCTGGAGGCCACTCGAGTCCCTTACAGTGCCTGTCCTCCACCTTGGGCACTGCCCTCTCGGGAAGCTTGGCCCGCCTGCCTGCTCAGGGCACCCTTGGGGACTCTCATGGACCCCAAATCTCTCCTCTCTAGCAGGCGCCCCAGGAGCTCCACATCCAGCCCTGCCTGTGTGACCATTCCCTCGTGTGTTTCTCTCCCTAGCTCTGTGCTGGCAGTGACAGGGTCTGTTTGGGGCCAGTCCGAGGCTGGCAGGTACACAGTGAGTGCCCAATACATGCCTGGTGTGTACAGGGCATACGCTGAGCACCTGGCAAGGGGGGTTGCCTGGGGAAAGCCAGGTCCCCTCGCAGCAGGTACTGACAAACGCTGGAAAGTGCAACGCAGTCATAAAATACCAGGATTTCCCCAGTTCCAAGCCAAGCACTTAACGCACGAAGTCACAAAACCCGCATAATTCACGTATTTGATTCAAATAGTGCAGGAAAGGTGTTGATGTAATGAATTAATTTTATAGTTAAAACTGTGTGTGTTTTTTTTTTAAATAAAGGGTTACAAGAACTGTGAGCAACTGGGATTTGGATGAACTGGACCAGCCTGGGAAGGCCGTCTCTGGGTCCTTAGGGCTGACTCCCAGCACCTCCAGCCATAGTGAGAGTGTTTGCAAACGGGGCCAATTCAGGATCCCCCCCGGGGTTGGTGGTTAAGCATTTGCAGCAAAGCACTGCT